ATTTACCAATTCTTTTCTTTTCTTTCTTTCTTTCTTTCTTTCTTTCTTTCTTTCTTTCTTTCTTTCTTTCTTTTTTTTTTTATGGTACTCAGGATTGAACTGAGGACCCTGAACTTCCAAGGCAGGCATCGGCACCACTGAGCTAAATCCTCGGCAGTTTTGATATTAACAAAAAGTGGAACCAAAGCCAGGAATGGGGGTGCATGCCTATAATCCCAGAATTCTGGACAGTTGAGGGAGGAGGATCACAAGCTGGAGCCTTGGCTGGGCAATTTATTGATTTTGGAGACTGTCAGCAAATTTAAAAAATAAAAATATAAAGGGTAGGGTATGTAGCTCAGTGTGAAGACCCTGGTTCAATCCCCAGTACCACCAAAAAATAAAAAATAAAAAAACCCTGAGGGAAGAATTAGCCTTGTTAATTTTATATAACTTTAGGCGCTTTTTTTTGAGACAGGATCTCACTATGTAGCTGAGGCTATCCTCCTGCCTCAGCATGCTGAGTGCTGGAATTACAGGCGTGTGCTACAAAGCTTTAATTTTGCCACTTATTTGTGTATTACACAGAACATAATTGGTAATAGCCATGCCACCTATTTAATCTGTTAGACTAGTACATTTAAATAGCTCTAATTAGTCCTTATTTTTTTTATTGTTTTTATCAAAAGGACAGAGGTCAGTACCCAGTTTTAATGAAATATAAGAATAGTGCTACAAAATTTTAAAGCTATACTAACTCTTTGATTATTTTAAAATATAATGGTTGCAAAAAGAAAATACTAATTGATGGATAATATGGGTTTTTGGTAATTGTTTTTTGTTTGTTTTTTGTGTTGTGGGAATTAAACCCCAAGCTTCACATAAGTAGGCAAGGGCCGGGGATTTAGCTCAGTGGTTTTGCCACCTGCTGCATAAGCACAAGGACCCGAGTTCGATCCCCGGTACCAAAAAAATAAAAATAAAAAACGTAAGTGGGCAAGTGCTCTACTACTTAGCTATACCCCAGCTGTGATAGATATTGACTGTATTTTGAGTCATATTGATTTTTTTGAGTTTTTTTCTTTTTCATAATACTCCTTCTTATATGTGTCAAAGCAAACTAAACAATGAATTCAGGTTACAAAAGAAGATATATATTTTGCACCTGTCCATAAGATCTTTGTCCATAAGATCTTTGTCCATAAATTAAGCCATATTAAGTCTTTTACTTTTCTCTTATTTTTATTTTTATTTTCTGCGGGCTATTTCTCATTGAAATACATGTCTTGTTTCCTAGTAAAACTCTTTATGTAGAATATTTGGTCAAGAGGTGAAGAAATTTAAAATTTTTCAAATGATGCTGAAATGAATATATAGATTGTAATGGCGAGATGCCCATAAATTGCACATCATAGTAAAACTTTTATAAATGTGGAGAGACAGCTGTTGCCATCAGTGTGTGGACCCCTTCATTTAAAACAAAAACAAACAAAAGATAAAAGACAAAAAAACAAAGAAAAGAAACCGGGCTGGGGCTGGTGCTTGATAATAGAGCTCTGGCCTAGCATGCAGGAGGCCCTGGGGTCCATCCTGAGCAGCACAAAAACAGCAGCTCTTCATTGCTTTAATTCCCTTTCTTCTTTATCTCCTGTACTTTGTTTTTCTAACCAGGATAAATTCATGAGATTAAAATAAAAAGGATGGCATCTAGAATAAATACCAGTTTCACAAGGATTCCCAAACAGAAGCACAGATGTAGTAACCGACGATCCAGCTATTTTTCCAGCAAACGAGATTCAGACTCTCAGCACTTATCAACTCTTGGAAGTTTTAAAGCCTTGCCATTGGAAGTATTCCAAATAATCTTAAACTATTTGTCAGGTGAGATTTAGGGACAGTGAATAGGCTACATACAACACTAGAATATTTTAATTTTTTCCAAGAAGTAGTTTGTGTCTTAAGCTCTGCTAAAATGTTAACAGCATTCATGTGAAGTTTATTTTCAAAAGTTTCATCATTGTTACATTGTACATTGTACAATGAGAAGACAGTGTGCTCAAACCAAGCATAACTCTATAACGATGTGGTAGCTTGATTGTTTTATTCCAATATAGTTCTAATCATTGAGAACTGGATTTAAAACGAATTTAAGATTTTTTTCCACTAGGATGCAGATAATTATGATTATTAATGAATTAATTTACAAGTTAACAGACTGTACTAATAGCGACATTCTTGCAATTTAAGCTCTTCATGCATGCATGTATATATTTCTTTTGGTAGTGAGAGATGTTGGCATGCTAAGCCTGGCCTCCAAAACAGTTAGCCGGGTCATTATCAATTATATTGAAACCTCCTCAGGAAGCAAGAGACTTTTACTACAGGACTTTCATAACCTTGAGCTGTCTGACAGGAGACAAGACTTCACTATTCTGGAGTACTACAGATCTCTAGGTAATTTATGAAATGAGAATTACATCAAAGGAAGAATTAAGTAAATTAAAGGATTTTATTAAACAGTTCTTTAAAGCCAGTAGTATATGGAATATTCCTAAAAAGTGCCAATTTCTGATGTTTTTGCTCTTAAATGTGAGGACGTCCCTTAACACCTGCCCCTTACACTTTTTTTTTTGAAACAGAGTCTCACTGTGTAGACTCTGTGTAGACATTTCAGGGTGGCCATGGACTCACTATGTAGCCCAGGCTGGCCTTGAATACATGGTGATTCTCCCTCCCCAGCCTCCTGAGTGCTGGGATTACGGCCACCCACCACCCTGCCTATCTTTATTTATTTATTTAATTTTTTTTTGGTACTGGGGATCGAACTTGGGACCTTGCGCTTTCGAGGCAGGTGCCGGAACCACTGAGCTAAATCCCTGGCTACCCTGCCTATCTTTAACGATAATTAAATGTACTTTAATGTCAAATGTCAGTCTTTGTGATTTCATGTGCATACATATATTGCCTTTGCTTATTGTATAGGTAGTTTACTAGTTTAGGAAATTCTTTTGTATGCTTTATATCCTTTGGATATAATGAGTTTTATCTCTATGTCACTTTTCCCTTTCAAACATAATCTAGTCCTTAAAATAAGAAAATAAGTTTAAATACATTATTGCAGATTGCAGAGGATCATTTATTCTCTTATCAAAGACTATGGTTTTCTCTTTTTAAACACTACACATTTACTAATAAATTATTATGATATAATTAAATTGACCTTATCAAAGGAATTTCTGTATAATCTTTTTTCCCCTGGTATGTAGTCATTTATATCTTTCACCCCCATTCATTGATTTCATTCTTCCTACAGCACTGAAATAAAACTCTAAACTTGACTAATGATACCAATTTTTTTTGTACTGGTGATTGAACTCAGGACCTTGCACTTGTGAGGCAGGCACAGTGCCACTGAGCTAAAACCCTGGGTTAACACTAATTTAACTATGAACCTATTTTATAATTAACCCAAGCATGCAGTAAAACTAAATATCAAAATTATGTTGCAATTTGCAGAGCGTAGTGGTGCACACCTATGATCCTAGCACTCGGGAGGCTGAGGCAGGAGGAACACTGCAAGTTTGAGGCCAGCCTGGGGTACTTACTGAGTTCAAGCCTGGCCTGAACTGCATAGCAAGACCCTGTCGAAAGAACAAAAAAGAAACAACAAAAGATTATGTTGCAATTTAAATAAATGCACAGTGAGTTAAGTGAATATTGTCTTTTAGTAGCCCAAGAATGCTTACCTTTAATAATAAATCTAAAAATGTAAATACATCAAAGTATATTTAATAAGACCAAATGAAAGGTATATAATCTAAATACAATGCTGTTGGCTTCAGTATTTATAACTAGATTTAGTAAAGCTTATAACCAAATATGGCAATTTTTTTTGCTATGTCTCACTATAAATATCTTTTTTTCAAACATCATTAGTTGAGTAATAGACCTTGTCCTTTGGTTTAAGTCTGAAAGAATTTTCTTTTTTCATGACCAAGTCTCAATTGCTTAAACAAACAAAGCATTAAGACAATTATATGGGCCTGGGGATGTAGCTCAATGGCAGAGTGCTTGCCTAGCATGCACAGGGCCCTGGGTTCCATCCTCAGGGATACACACACACACACACACACACACACACACACAATTATATGAATAACTCAATTTAAAATTTTAAATATATATTGATCTTATTGGCTAGATTTTTTGTCATTGTAGTTGTTTTGTTTTTTTGAGACAGGGTCTTGGTATTGTAGTTCAGGCTGGCCTTGAAATCACTTTGTAGCCCAAGTTGAGTTTGAACATGTAGGGATCTTCTTGCCTCAGCCTCTCGAGTGCTAGGAACATAGGCGTGTACCACCATGCTCATCAATAGCTGCCTTTTAAAAAATAGTTTTAGGGCTGGGGATTTAGCTCAATGGTACCACACCTGCCTCACAAGTGCAAGGTCCTGAGTTCAAACCCTGGTACCAAAAAAAAATGATTTTATTCATAAAATTTCAACCTTCCATTTAATTTTGAAGAAAACACCTGGTTTGCAACTGATGCTTTAGGTAAATGTTGGAAGATCTTACCATTTTATCATATCATTCCTATCTGATCTGTTCTTGTTTTTAGACATTAAAATAACATCTTCCATTTCAAACATTATGCATTTTAATTTACTTTTTCATATAAAACAGAGCAGATGGCCAGTGTGGAAAGAACATTGAATGTGACTCTATTTTATTGGGAAGAAATGAAAGAAGTTGGTCTCTAAAGGCTTTAGCAGAGCACCTGTGATTAAAAAAATATTTTAAAACTAATATTAGGCTCTATGGTAAATTATAACCTTTATAAGTAGGAGTTGTACATTAGAAGAGGCAGCCAACATACAATTATAGCTTACAATTCCCCAGCTATGATAGGCAGTGAGACTGGATGCCAAAATATGAAAGGAAAATAACTCAATTTAAAAACCAAACACTGAGAATGTCTTTTTATATACAAAAATGAAGAAGATTTATGCTTAAAACTCAACTCTTGTCATATGTTCCCCAAACATAGCAACTTCTAAAAATAAATTCGATTCCTATGGATTTTTCAGAATTATATAATTATTATATTAAAAAGTCGGCCAGGGATTTAGCTCAGTGGTTCTGCC